ACACCACCACCATCTTATCCATCCATTCATCAACCAACTTAGTTAGCTCTTGAATGGAAAAATGAAATAAAAGAAAACGCCTGGGCCATGCATAATACTGTAAGTTATAAGAATGTCATCAATCATCGCTTCGCATTTATCGTTGCGTCATAAGTATCTCTTTCTCCTCCTTTCCGGATACGTATGATGCTCAACCCTTTACAAACCTCTCTATCACGAAAGATCAAAACCAGCCCCTGCATTGATTGCATACAACAACTTCTCTTTCAGCTTCTCCTTACTTTGATACCTCGGCAATTTCAACAGATTAACACACGTACTCGCACTTGGCAGTCGCTTCTCATCCAAACTACCATCCCTGATACTAAACCGTGGAACCAACGATGAGAATCCCAATAAGGGTGCTCTTGGCGTGCTCGTCACATACTTGAGTACTTTTCTCCTATCCTCATCTTCGAACTCTTTCATAACTTGCCAAAACATCATGACAGTTGGGTGTTCAAGTCCATCATCTCCAATCTCATATACACCGCCATATCTTGTGTTTCTACGTAAATCATCAATGTTGATCTCGGATGTTTCGCCGGAAATTAGAGTTTGAAGTTCGACTTGGTTAAACATGCTTAACCATGAAGGATTTATGATTTGGCCGAGACCGCGAAGGAAAGCTTGGGTAAGTTCGTAAGGTTGAATATGGAGACGGTGGCGAACGACGTATGCAATGTAGAGGAGACGATTTTCATTTGTAACAGGAATATTGGAGCCATTTGGCATAAGATCCCGGGTGATAATTTTAGGACGGCCACCCGGTATGTGGCTGGGAATGGTGTCGGTTATGGTGAAGTCGAGCGAGAAGTCTTCGACATTTCCAGGATAATTTTTGAGTTTTAATAGCCCTTGATATAATCCTTCGTCAAGGTCACGTAAATCGTTGAGATTGCCACGGCTTGTTGCTTCTGAACCAGAAAATGCAGCAGACCATTTGAGAAGGAAAAATCCAGCAAAATTGATATCGACAAGAATTCCCTCATACAAACACTTCCCTACTATGCGACCTAAGAATTGCATGCGATTGCGCAGCTGTGCGCTATGTGCCTTCCAATCAGGGTTGGTCTCGGTGATCCCATTCGATCTCAAAAATTCATAATCTTGTTCAGTCGCTGTTGGATTGGGGTAGAGTAGATTTTGATCATTCGTCACAAAAAGGGATGTGCGACTACCATAGCCTAGAGGGCCGCGAAATGCTTCATTTGTTGCACTGGTAAGAAACTCTTTCGTCACTCCACCGCCATCAATACCAGCCTCAGCAGTACCGAAGCTGTCAATAAACGTGATCTGAATTGGTTCCTTAAGACCTTCTGACAGCGGGTAGAAGGCCTCAAAAGCATCTTCAAAAACGCTTTCTCGACGAATCCGTGCATAATGCCTGCCAAGAACTAATCGTGCAGCATGCAGAGTATGTGACATATCTTCCATTCGCATTCGCCATAAATCTGGATCAACGACACCTGCTCGTCTCTTGAGTTGATCCAACATGACGAACTGACGAAATATCTCAACACGAGTTTCAAAAGGGATAACAAATGGCATATTTTCTAACACCTCAATTCTTGGTCCAACGGTGGCCATGAGTTTGCGTTTATAGATTTTTCGCTGCTGCCGACTGAAATTCTCCTGCTGTATCATCAGATGCGGTCGAGTCAGACGCCTTATATTGATGCTCTGGACACGCCCAAACTCTTCTGCGTCTTCATCAATCTCGTCTTCAGTACCTTCACCGTCTACAACTTCTTGTCGTCTTTCTTGCTCCTTAATAACATCAACAATAAAGCCTTTCATGTCAAAACGTGTCGTCATGAGCCAATGATCTTTTGGCAAAAATTGTCGTCTCGAATCTCGTTCATAGATCATTCGCATGACCCCGATAACAATTGTCCTCATATAGTAGAACGTCATGCCCGAAATTCCGGCGAATGGCCAACTTGAGTTACTTGTCGTTGACCCCTCGTCAAGGCCCTCTCGCTCCTTTCCAGATTGATTGTTGATGCTGATATAGGTGCTTGAAACATCTTCCATACCGGGCTTATCATCAGTAGAAAGTTCTGCAGCATTATAATAAGTAGTGAATGAGATGTTCTTCAGGAAAAGGGTGAGTTTCTCGACAGATTCCAATGGCAGGGCACTCCCTCGAATCTTGGAAACAGTTCCACTTGCTTGACTTGACTCCATGCTGCCGCCGAGGAAGTCCTCATCGTCTATGAATTTTAGGACAAATGTATAAAGTTCTAGGAAAAGAAGAATGGTTCTCCATTCTCGATTTCTTGACAAAACTTCTTGAGATGGTTCATTACTGTGTTGCTTTTGATATCGAAGAATTTCTAACGCAGCCTTCGAATCCGCCACGATAGCTTTGAAGGTGCTCGTTGAGCTCATTGCCTGCCAAAAGAACTTGAGAGCCAGCACCTGGTCACCATTTGAAGCTGTCATAGAGCTAGAACAAAGCCACATTCTAATTTCATCCGCACGATGTGGGAAGATTCTCAACAGTGTAAGAGCATAACTCGCCAAGAAGCTTGCATCCTCCTGGCCCGTTGTCGACCTTTTGGCATAATCGCTGATGCCAAGTTATTAGCGAAGATCAAAAGAAAAAATGTACTCGACTTACATGTTAAATCTCTCCAGTAGTCCTACTATTGAAGCTTTATTTACTAAAGACATCAACTGACTACTGATGAATGTGGGCAAGTTCCGTACAAGATGGATTCCCGTTTCTTCGCTTTCATTTTTTTGAGAAGTATTAGATATTGGTTCAACGCCATCGATCTTGCCAATAATATCGACTGAGCACGCCGTTAGCTGGAGAGATAAGGCTCTCAATAGCTCAACTTCCTGTTCACGATGCTCTCGCATATGATATGTTGCAATGAAGTGAGCAAGCAGCCATAGCTTTGCCTCTGGATTTGACTGCGAGGAAGAGATGTTTGAATAGTCACGGACTATAGCTGTAGCTAGGAGATTGCCGCTCATCTTAGATGCGAGTCCTTGTAAATCTCCCAGTCTAGTCTCCAAATTTGGAGTGGTAAGGAACTGAAATGCCATGGCTGAATAGATATCTAGTGACATTGAAACTATATTGGATCAGTAACTAGGTATGACAGGTTCACATGGGGCAGGGGAGACATACTGGACGAATCTGCTGGCGTCAAAGGAGGCTCTTCAAGAGGAAAGAGTACTGCCGAGACAAGCTCTGCACGACGTCCATCAGTGATACTGCTGTTGACCACTGCAGCTGACAGAAAGTTGTAATAAGGAATTGAAATATGTGAGAGTATATCTCTTCTGTACACTAGTATATTCAACAGTAACTTGAATAGGGCTGTGTCGTAGCTGGGTAAGGAACTATTGAAGAGGTTAGAAGTTGTTCAAGAATAAACATATGTGAGTAAGCGTACCGCATGACCGCGCTGAGTATGAGCTTTGCTAGTTTCGGCAAATAAGGTTGATACTCTGCTTGACCTATAAGTTCGGCATTATTATTAATAACCAACTTTCTACCAAGTGCCGTCAATTGTGCTATATCATCCTCCCGATCGGGGCTGCAAAATGCAAACAACAACTGTAGTTGCTCAACCGTGATGGGCGCATCGGGCCCTTCTTCCTGAGAAGTGTAGGACAAATGGTATTGTCGTCTTCGTGCATCGGCAAGCTCGGTTCTGACTTTATGACCCCTCCATACCCTCTGGATTTTCTTCGAAGCGTTGAGCCTCTCTCTTTCTTTCTGACGCTGTTCTCTCTCTTGTTGCGCATGTGCCAATGTCTTCTGAGCAGCGGAAGCGGAAGAATTCCAGGAGCTGGCAGCGAATGGATTTGGATTTTGGCCGGAAAGATTGACTTGTCTTGGTTTACGAGAACTCCCACTGAATGTTTGGAACATTTCGGAACTGTGATAATAAGGGAATTATCTATCACTTCTTGAAGGATTCTTCTTTGTCTTGCACCGTAAATGGCAGTATCATGGGCAAAGCAGCATACCGAAGCTCTATGGGTGATCCAAGATAGACCGATCGAAGACTGAGATTAATGATTGTCGCAGACGGATATATTCGGAGTAGGTTGATGATAGCAGTATTATTACTATCAAGGACTGGGAAAGTAGTAGAATGAGACAGTTGAGGTGACTTCGTTCAAGAAGCTTCTATGAGATTCGCTCTTTTCGATTTTTAAGGTAGGTTTTGAAGGCAAAAGTAACAAAGTAATATCATACATTCATTCATTCATTTACAGCCTCTCTGTCCCTCGGATTACGTTGGTAGCAGCCTCACTAAATGACGCCGCTTTTGATAACTCAAATGCTCCGATAAACTGCCCATTACTTTGCCTTACAAATCAAATTCGGTGGAATGGAATGGATCACCTAGAAAGAAGTTGATTGTCTTAACGTGGTTTATCAGGACCCTGTACATATCAGGACCCTGTACACTTTTACCTCAATTATCACCCTTCAACTTCAACACGCGATTTATCAATATTTAATTATGCAAACTACTTCAAAAGAAGCTCGAATCAATTTAGCTATTGAGGCTATTCGTACATCTCAAAATTTGAGTATTCGGAAAGCTGCAAAACTCTATAATATACCTCATACTACCCTTACTTCTAGAATGAATGGAATTCTGCCTCTTACTGAACGTCGACCAGCAAATCATAAAATGACAGAATTGGAGGAGAAATCGCTTCTTCAATATATATTGGATATGGATGAAAGAGGGTTTAGTCCTCGAATAAGTGATGTGGAAGATATGGCGAATTATATACTCAAAACGCGGGGTGCGAAGAAGGTTGGAAAGCTCTGGGCTCATCGTTTTGTGAAACGACATACAGAATTAAAGACGCGTTTTAATCGCGTTTATAACTTTCAAAGAGCTCCCTGCGAAGATTCAGAGCTTATTGAAAGATGGTTTCGATTGGTATCGAATATGCGGGCCAAATATGGTATTCTGGACTGCGATTTCTACAACTTCGATGAGACAGGCTTTATGATGGGACAAATATCACCACATATAGTAGTTACTAAAGCTGATCGATGTGGAAAAAGCAAAGCTATACAACCAGGCAATCGAGAATGGGCTACAGCGATTATTTGTGTTGATGGAGAAGGTCACAATATACCTCCGTTTTTGATAGTAAAAGGCGAATACCATCTTTCAAATTGGTATACCGAAGGTGATTTACCATACGATTGGCTTATTAAACCTACTATCAATGGATGGACAGATAATGAGACAGGTCTTGAATGGATTAAGCACTTCAACAAACATACTGAAAGTAGGAAAGTGGGTAGATATCGAATGCTAGTGCTTGATGGGCATGAAAGTCATAAATCGCCAGCATTTCAGGAATACTGCAAGGAACACGACATTATATTACTTAGTTTACCACCTCATTCTTCGCATTTAACTCAACCACTCGATATCGGTTGTTTTGGTCCTTTAAAGTATTCATATAGTCGACAAATCGAGAACTTTATCAAGGCGCATATCACTCATATTACCAAAACCGAGTTCTTTCAAGCCTTCAAAGCTGCATATATCGAAGCAATATCTATATCAAATGGTAAAGCTGGGTTCCGCGGAGCTGGGCTAATCCCATTTAATCCGGAAATTGTACTTTCAAAGCTAGATATTCGAATAAGAACTCCATCAAATAGATCAATATCAGCCGATCCTGATATATGGCAATCTCAAACACCTCACAATCCAACTGAAGCTCTTTCTCAATCCACTTTAGTGAAAAGTCGTATTGCTCAACATCAAGGGAGCTCACCTACTCCAATATTTAAAACAGTTGCAGCTTTAGCTAAGGGTACAGAGCTCTTAGCTCATGCGAATACGCTTTTAGCTGCTGAGGTTCATAGTCTCCGCAAAGCAAATGAAGCACTTAGTAAACGCCAGAGAGCTAGAAAAGCTTTAATACGAAAAGGAGGAGTACTTTCAGTAGAAGATGGGCATGATATATTAGAACAAGAGAATGTAGAAGATCAGATACGACGCGATGAATTTACAAATGGTGATTCTTCAGCAAGGAGGCAAGCTACTATACGACGATGTAGCAAATGTGGTAGTGCTTCACATAATGCACGAACTTGTCAATTAGATCCAGCATTAGTTGATCTTTGAATTGTATGTAATTTAATTCTAATTTATAGTATTGTTGTAATTTTATTTCAATGGAATGTGGGCAATTGAGGTAAAAGTGTACAGGGTCCTGATATGTACAGGGTCCTGATAAACCAAGTTATCAATTTGTGGTTACATAAGAATTACATAATCATCATTCACACCTCCTTCAAAACTTCATGATCGCTGAGGTCATCCATCATTCCTTCTGTTACTCCAAATGGATATTTATACATCCTTCTTCAATTGATAGTGACTTACTAGGTATTCCAAGGCCATTGAATGTCCCTATCCATATCCTTGTGTACTCCTCTCTTATGGGGCTAGGTCCTGGCTGCGCATGACAATTGTAGAATTCATTGTTCACTTGGTGCCTATTGTATGCTCTTATTCTCTACTACGGAGTAGAGCGAAGCGAAAAAGCCTCCACGGCAGTGGCCAAAGCGGAGCGTCATGATAATTAGACGATGCTTTCTCCTTTAAATGTATAATCTTGCCAGTGATTTTAATCATCAGTGTTTTCATGGGCCTTCCTTCTCTTTTCAGATAGCCATAGATCACACAAACCTAACAAAAGATACTTCAAAAGCCCTTCCATTTGAGTAATGCCTTATTGATTCTACCTACCTATCTTAAATACAGCTTTTCTCGTGATTAAGACTGGAGCTGGAAGACCTTTCTAGATGTCAATGAGATTACATAAGCCAACCATATGAAATGCTTTATTACTTCTTCATTCCTCATCTTTATCAACCGTCAACGATATCGATAATAATGACATGAGCACAGGAAAAGCCCTACTTCAGTAATACTAACACTTTTCTAGGTAAATAGTACCCAGCTAGTCAATCTCGATTTCATTAGTCATTCTCTTTTCAGTGGTGTTAATCTTTGATCATTCACTTGATGAATCAGCTGTAGCGAATCATCTGCGATTCTTGATTTAAACTACCGGACTAATCCCAATTAAGTATAGTTAGACTACGCACAGAAATTTCGAAAAAAGATGAACTAAGTTTTATCCGTCGCGATTGTGACTTTTAAAGAAATCTCCTTCCCTTCTCCAACCATCCAAAAAAAAAAATACATCCCACCGAAAAGATCTTACAATAGCGGTTTAAGTACGAATAACTTCGTGCTTTTTTCGTTCTTCTTCGCCCTTTTCAAATTAGAAAACCCCTCTTCTTCAAGAGATACAAAAAAATTTGAAAATCAACCCACAGAAAACCCCAGATTTGCGATCGATACTTATTCTATCGAACGTCTTTTCGAAATTCTTTCAGCTTCCTCCCAAAATCAAAACCTTTCACCTCAAAAAGTCAGTCATATTGTGCCTTTTGTCTCGCGACACTGATATCAGTATTTTCCTTCGATACTTATCGGTTCTGTACAGAGTTATTCTCGCGAATTTCTACCCCTCATCCGACCCTCTTTTCACAACACATCTCGACGTAAAGGTAAGGATGCCACTTGGGTAGTTCTCTTGCCTTTATACCTTCTCTCAATATTCCCTTTGTCGTTCCTCATTACGAATTATTTCTCAAAATGCGACTCCAATTATTCCTGTTCAACTGCTAATTTTTGTCATTTCAGTAAAATTTACTCAAAATGTCTGCCGCAACCCAAAACGCTGCTGTCGATCAGCTCGCCTCTGACCTTAACAATGCTTCCTTGAATGGAGATGCAAATGGCGCTACTACCCTCAATACCGATGTTTCCAATGTCAACTCTGAAGACCAAGATGCCGCAGGTCCTACCCCCACCAACGCCCCTCACCCACAAGCCTCGGCTTCTCTCTACGTTGGTGAACTTGACCCATCTGTTACCGAAGCTATGCTTTTCGAGCTCTTCTCTCAAATTGGTTCCGTTGCTTCCATTCGTGTCTGCCGTGATGCCATCACTCGCCGATCCCTTGGATATGCCTACGTCAATTACAACACCACCGTTGATGGTGAGAAGGCTTTGGAGGAACTCAACTACACATTGATCAAGGGTCGCCCTTGCAGAATCATGTGGTCTCAACGTGATCCAGCTCTGCGAAAGAATGGTCAAGGAAATGTTTTCATTAAGAACTTGGATGTTGCCATCGACAACAAGGCGCTCCACGACACATTTGCTGCTTTTGGAAACATCTTGAGTTGCAAGGTTGCTCAAGATGAGTCTGGAGCTTCCAAGGGTTATGGATTTGTTCACTACGAGACTGATGAAGCTGCAGCTCAAGCTATCAAGCACGTTAACGGTATGCTTTTGAACGAGAAAAAGGTCTTTGTTGGCCACCACATTCCTAAGAAGGACCGTCAAAGCAAGTTCGAGGAAATGAAAGCAAACTTCACCAATATCTACGTTAAGAACATTCCAGTTGAAGCTACCGAAGAAGAGTTCCGCGAGTTGTTTGAGAAGTTTGGTGATGTCACTTCAGCATCCCTTGCTCGTGATACTGAATCTGGCAAGAGCCGTGGCTTCGGTTTCGTGAACTTCATCAACCATGAGCATGCCGCTACTGCTGTTGATGAACTTAACGGCAAGGATTTCAAGGGTCAAGATCTTTATGTCGGCCGCGCCCAGAAGAAGCATGAACGTGAGGAAGAGCTCCGCCGTTCATACGAAGCTGCTCGCATGGAGAAGGCTTCAAAATATCAAGGTGTCAACCTCTATGTCAAGAACTTAGATGATGAGATCGATGACGAGAAGCTCCGAGAGTTATTTGCACCTTTTGGTGCCATTACTTCCGCCAAGGTTATGCGTGATACTCCTGCTGAGACCGCTGATGCCGAGGACAAGAAGGAGAAGGATGAGGAGAAGAACAAGGAGAACAAGAAGGAGGGTGAGGCTGAGACTGAAGAGGCCTCCGCACCAAAGGCAAAGCGACCCCTTGGTAAGAGCAAGGGCTTCGGTTTCGTTTGCTTTAACAACCCAGATGAGGCCACCAAGGCTGTTTCTGATATGAACCAGCGTATGGTCAGCAACAAGCCACTTTACGTCGCTCTTGCTCAGCGCAAGGATGTCCGAAAGAGTCAATTAGAGGCCAGCATTCAAGCTCGTAACCAAATCCGCATGCAACAAGCCGCCGCTCAAGCTGGTATGCCACAACAATACATGCAAGCTCCAATGTTCTTCCCTCCCGGAGCCCAACAACCAGGTTTCCTTCCTCAAGGTGGACGTGGTATGCAATTCCCACCACAAGCCGGCATGCCCATTCCAGGCGCTCAAGCTGGCCGACCAGGCCAGTTCCAAGCCGGTTTCCCTCCTCAACAAGCCGGTCGTGGTGCACCAGCTGGTCAACAAATGCCACCTAACATGTATGGTATGGGACCGGGTCAATTCCCTGCTGGCGGTCAGTATCCTCAACAAAACAACCCACAATTCTTAGCTGCCATGCAAGCTGCGCAAGCTGCTCAACTCTCTGCCGGTCGCGGTGGACCAAACGCACGTGGACCAATGCAAGGTATGCCACCAAACATGGCTATGCCTATGGGTCAACAAGGAATGCCACAGTTCCAACAAGGTGCTAGACAAGGTGGTATGCCTGGTCGTGGTGCTCAGGCTGGACGTCCCGGTCAATTCGCTGGTGGCTTCCCTCCACAAGCAGGTCGTGGTATGCCACAACAAATCCCAGGTATGCCACAAATGCCTCAGATGCCTCAAGAGGGTGGTGTTCCAACTACTTTGTTGCAAGCTCAAGTTCAATCCGTTCCTCCCCAGCAACAAAAGCAAATACTTGGAGAGGCTTTGTTCCCTAAGATCCAAGTCTTGCAACCTGAGTTGGCTGGTAAGATTACCGGAATGTTGTTGGAGATGGAGAACCAAGAGTTGATCAATCTGTAAGTTATTCAACGTTCCATGACATATATTATGTTACTAACGACGATATAGTATCGAGGATGACGCTTCTCTCCGCGCTAAGGTTGACGAAGCACTTACCGTCTATGATGAGTATGTTAAAAACAGAGGTGAAGGTGAAGGCGACTCTGGTGAAGCCAAGGAGGGTGACGAGAAGGCTGAAGAGAAGGCTTAATTGCCCACTCTCTTCTTCCATTAATGAATCTTTTTCTACACTTTACTTTGGCGTCTTGTCCAACTATTCTGCTACGGTACGGATCTGGAAAAGTTATCTATGCTTTGGTGGCGATATTTCGGTCCTGCTTTTTATCGAATTCGCGTTCGAAACGATATTTCTCTACTGGTCAATGAATATTCATCTTCTATTCTTCATTTTATGGAAGGGGAAATATTTTAACCAAACACATGTACTCATAGATTACTCTTGTGCTCGACGGACCTTGCACTACTGGGTGGAGAAACCGTTTTCTTTTTCTCGTTGAGAACTACCTACGCCTTTAACGATTACAATATTTTTGCACGGTATGGCTAGTTGACAATGGAGGAAGCCCAGCAAACTTCTTAATTTTTTCTGCTATTTTATTACATTTTTCAGTCCGTCCGAGCGATTGAACCGGTGACGACAACCTTCATGGGCTTTTTATCACTTTCCTTATTGATGAATGGATGATGAAATGAAATGAGGGATATTGGCATGGCAATTCAGTTTTATGGGTGGGCATGGATTGGGAAAGTGACAGCGTGAACAGAATTAGATTAGGGTTCTATCATAGATAGATAGTGAGGGGGAGTAAATAAGAAAGTAAAAACATTGCAAATTATTTTTGGGAGATCCTTCTTATGTGAGTGACTTTCATCTGTTTAAAACGGTGTAAGGCAAGCGGGTTGACTGTACAAGAGGATGTGCAGTAGTAAAAGCTCGATGTTCGATGGTAGATTGAACAGAGAGGAATTTCAATCAGATGATGATATCCCGCTCCTGAAAATGGAGTAGAGACGATTATGATACAACGAGAGAGCTAACTACTTAACTATTGAACTTCTTTTCTTATCCCGCTGTAAAGCTGGAGACTCTCCAAAGGCGTGGATCCCACTGGGGGTCGTTCAATTCCAGTTCACCCCGCGGAGGAATTGGAATGTTCCGCGAAGTTCAAGTACATCTTTATGTATTTCAGTCGAGGGTGTTGAGCGTCTGATATGGAGCTGGGCATTAATGTGTATCCTAATAGGGCTAGACAAGGGGTGTTAGTCTCAGAGTGGGACTTAGTTGATGGTTTTTGTTGATCTAGTTGATCCTGTACAGCTTCCGATCGGCTACTTGTTTATATTCACTGCTATACTTGCTCTTATATTCACTATTATATCTGCTCTTATATTTATTAATATATTTATTTTTATATTCACTATTATACTTTTATATTCACTACTATATTTATTTTTGTATTCACTATTATATCTATTCTTATATTTACTATTATATTTATTATTATACTTGCTCTTGCATTCACTACCATACCTACTTTTATATTCACTATTATACCTACTCTTTCTTACATTCACTACTATACCTACTCTTATGTTCATTGTCATATCTACTTTTATATTCACTGCTATACCTGCTCTTGTAGTATTTTAGATACTCTATCATCTCAGTATGGGTATGATCTCGATGGCATGCTCTAGCGAACACCCCTGGCTTGATATCTCCAGCTCCTCGTCTATTCTCGGTCGATTACAATCATTTTTAACACTCACAGAATTAGTTTTGCATTGGATTAAGGGAAAAGCAAAATCAGCTCGAAGAGCCAATGCAGTTAAAACCAACAGAGTAATAAAACGCTATAGAATCGAGTCGAGCGCTCAAACACTCTATAGCGCGTGTCTCGTGTTTTGACGTTCCTTGTAATTCTTCCTCATTATCATGAAAAAGATCACAGATGCAGTGATCATGCAATATACAGTCTACTATTTTGGAATGCAAATGGGACGAAGTTGAAAGAGTTAAATGTGTTTGTATCTATGCAAAAGTGTGGAGGAAATTACAGAAACCCCCGTCTCCAGTTTAAAAACCTAGTCTGTCTAGTGCGAGAGAAGGAAATCAAAGAACGCAACCGCTTCAAGCGAACATTCGAGAAGATGTTTTGAAACCAGCTGTAGTACAGTAGATGCATTACAGAGCCTACGCAACATCCCTTGAGATTCACTTGTCCTCTTCTGTTATATCACATACATCATCATGCATAAGCTTGTATCAGTGTATCATGGTGTGCGGCCCAATATGCCACCCATTAGACATCTTACAATTATCACTTGCATGATAGGAAAATTTTGGAAAGAATAATAGTATAGCTTGGAAACTAGAAGGATAGCAAGTATGTGAGAAGCATAGCCCCTGTATATGGTACGGAATTGGAAAGTGTTGATAAGTTTCCCCTGCCAAAAAAGGAATGTTGTGAAAAACTTTGTACAAGGTTTATTCCAAATGACTGTCAACATATAGCAGAGCCAACTTCCACATGAAATCACCGCTGACGTGTGATAGTGCACTTTTCATGAAAGAACTTCAAAGAAGATCCTCGAGGGTACATGAAGTTGCAATATACCTGCATTGCTATGTGGGCTTAGCTATCACAGCCCCTGAACCCCTATTGAGCGAACGAGCCTCGAAACGAATCCAAAATAGCCCCTATCAAGCAATATCCAATATGACGATGAGCCCTTAACATTTCATTGACCTACTAGCTATAACGCGTGGGTCTTACCCACGGTGGTAAAACTCTGTATAGTATGGGATGGATATCTAGCTGGAGAAAGGGGGCGCGCTAGGCGCCCAGCCCTACGGCGTTGTCCGATAACAACTTCGTTTTCCTTGCCCTCTCAAATAAACTATTCCTCATTCAACCAACTACTACAGTTATGATGACTATTTGCCAGCTTCCTCAAGCATGGGGTTATATCACGTGGAGATTTGCCAGGTAAATTTTTGGCATCGTGGGTCAAATAAACGGCCACCCTGAAACCCTTCAGCTGGACTATTTATGCTACTACTAGGTACGTACTAACATAGCCCCAGTTCAGGCTAACCAGACCATTGATGCCCGAGAAGGTAGGAACGTATGATATGAATTGGTGTGGTGGGGATCGGTTAGGAGTCTTTATGGTAGGGAGGGAAGGCACAACATGGCTTGCACGTGCCTAGAATGGTTCCTGCCTATAAAATACAACACCTCACCTTTGAGTTTGAACTTCAATATTCTCATTGTCTTTTCTATCGACAACAACTCCTCATTTCATCTCCCTTTGGTGTACCTTTGAACAACTTCATTCCGAAAGAGAAGAGGAAAAATCGCATCCATCATGGCCGACGCTTCGACTGAGCTCCACGCAAGCGCAAGTTTGATGACGAAATCGATGTTTCTTCAGACCTGTCGGCTGCTGTTTCTGGACCAGCTGCTACGATTGCAAAGGAACCTAAGCTTGTTGAGGATGTCAATACTCAACTGCTTGATGAATTCAGTAAGTTGAATTATGAATATCAGTCCAGTTTTCTCGCCTTTGCTAACCTTTTGACAGTTACCACCGGTGAAGGTGATTCAGACAAAGGCGGAACCATTACCGGTCAGAATTACCGCCAGCCTGCTGTTTCCGACGCTGAAGAATCAGATATCGGAATGTCAGAATTTTCGGAGATTATGTTTGATGATGAAGATGATGGACTCGAAGATGAGCACTCATACGAAGATGAAGATGATTGTGAAGATTCCGATTCAGAACCACATGAATACGCAGTCGAGGAGCGCCAGATTATTGTACAGAAGGATGGTACGGATAAGGTAGTCAGGTTGAGACTTTTTATGACTAAGGAAGAAGAGTTCGAGAATTGGCTTCAGACGATCCATGTCGCTTGCACCATCGACGGCCAAAGAATTGGTTATGCCTTCGGCCGATACATTCATCAAGAAAAGATTCGAGAACATTTTTGGAGCGAGATGGAGGCTCCATGCAGTGATATGAGTTAAATTGCATTCAAGCTTTTTGATCGGTATGGGTACCTTAATGATCATCTTAAGAAACATTGTGTGCGGAAGGGTACAGGCGTATGGGGAAGTGAATTAGACTTCGGTCCACTTTTTCTCATCGAGTATATTGAAATTACGGACAGGGAATGGAGACGGAAAGGTCTAGGACGAACTATTGTTACATCCATGGTCGAAAAAGCTCAAGAACAGCAGAAGCCGCAGAGCCCAAATCCTACAGAGATACCAGCAGAGAAAGTATTAGATGAAATATTTGTGGACATGTTTTGACATGGAAAACACCGGGAAAGATACACAAAGCTTCACATCATTTTGTTGCCTGGCTGGCTTCGTGACGATGTGAAACCCCTGTTTGGGGGGGGGGGGGGGGGGGGAATTTGAGCTCGAACAGCGGGACATCAATCTTCAAGCTGTCGATGCTGCTGTTTCGTTTCATCGATCCCTTGGTTTTCGAAGGATTGGGGCTTCGAGCTGTTTTGGTCTATCATCTGACCCTGATCACAAATCTCATTCCCTCGCAATCAAGGACGATTATGATCCTCCGGACGCAGCACCAGGGCCTGTGGAGGAACCGACAGAAGTCATAGTTACGATGCCAGGTGAAGAAGAAGACTTTCGTGCGTCTGCTTATGGAAGGGCACTGGAAGAAAGGAGACTGGATAAATTAAAGAAGAGACTTACACCCTTGAACTTCGCTGCTGTTACTCTCCCTGATATGGAGCTCGTGGAATTTTACAAGGTTTACCAAGTCGAGGACAAAAAGGAGTGGAAGCAGGTTGATCGTCGAAACAACACCTTGCTTCGCATCACGGCATGCCAGTTCAAACCCCAAAGCGTGAAATGGATAATGGAAAACGCCAAAGATGAGCAGTGCTTGACACTATCTCGCAATTCGAAAGGATACACGCCCCTTGAAGCATTACAGGATGACCTTAATGTCCTCAGAACACGACGCAAGCATGGAATGATGACCATTGTCATCGCAGATAACTTTTCTGGCTTTACTCCTGATGCTGTCCTCTGCCAATTTGTACTATTGACCGAATTGATGCCTTTAGAAGATTCGAATATACCGCTCTGCCTCCGTCTTAAATATGGTTGCACTTGTGGGGAATGCATTGAAGGCTTTTTATCGCCACGCATGAAACTGGCACTTCTTTTTCAAGCCGAAATGGGATATGAGATTATGGATGATGCACTTGAGATGACGAACTGTAGAAGTAGCCCTACTGATTGGTTATATTTGGCCGAAGATGCTATCGAGCACGTCTCGCCAGCTCTCCAGCGAGACTTTAGGACAAACAAATCACTCGGTCGAGGTTTCGTAAATATTTTTGACCACATTGCGACTTGCTTAAAAGTCAACAAGGCACCAACGAGACAAAATGTCCTACAAGCATGGGAAGGAAGTGGAGAATGGCCACCTGTAACTCGAAATTATCTTCAATGGGGTGGTACTGTTGAGAATAAGGTTGAACAGGTATTGGAGAAGATATTCGAACGCGCGCATTCTCAAAACGAAACGCTTGGCGACGGCCACTTCATGCTTTGCATGGAGAAAGAGGTCGAGAAATTGAGGGCATGCAGGAATGATCATGAATATGGCTTTGTTGCTAAATTGTGTGGCTTACCAGAGCGTAATACTAACCCATCAGGAAGATTGGAGGGTTTTTTCGGCAGAATATTTTCGAGCATCTAATGATTTGTGCTACGTATCTTCGTAAGTTGTGTAGATGGATGCTTGACTATGGCTAATGTGGTATCGGATACAACAATTTCGCTAGATAGTTTTTCGTACGTTGTGCAGGTAGATAGCTGGCTGATTATGTTTATGTGCTTTTGATTTGCTTTTTTGATATTATACTTGTAAAATTATATAGCTAGAAAAAGAAAAGATTTGAGATCTTATAAAATATAATGAATCCTTCAAATCTAATTAATTACTCGAGACTCGAGCTGAACATTTATTAGATGTCTATTGTGACGGAAACCCCTGCTTTCCTCCCACCCTTATTATATAAGAAACCTCAGGTACATTAACCATGTCCACACATGATACGATTACTCGGGATTAGTATACGATTTAGGTGACTTGAGGATCAGATCCGGACAAGTACTAGGTATCAATGGTTATTGGTAAAGTAAAATCATTGGAGAGATAAATATGGCTTCTTTTTGCCTAGCCATTGCAGCTAGGCTATTCATTTGTGTGTATATAGAGTAGCTATCCCCATCTACAGGTGCTCTTCACCTGTAGATTCTAAGTTAAATACAATTGCTGGTCTATAAACACCCTTTTGGTCACACTATTATTTATTCTAATAAAATCTTTTCATTTCAATTTATAATCAAAATTAAAATATTGAAATGAATATCTGTTAGCTTATTAGATAAGATCTTCAGAGTATTTTTATAATCTTATATGCCTTGAATTGTGTTACGTTGTAACATTATAAACTATTATCACGTGTTATAGGATCACATGGATAATCTTGTGAGGGAGCGAGGGAGCGAAGGAGCGAGATTCGAATCTCGCTCCCCAGCTCCATCGCTCCAATGTTGGAATACGAAGGTCTATATAATCAAGATGGATTCCCTTTGTATAGAGCTTCGTGCTCAAGATCAAGATCAATCATTTAGTATACTCTACTATTAGTTACGAATTGCATATCATTATTGTCATTACTTAAGTCCCTGCTTGACGTCTAGTTATAAACCACCTTGAGAGCCTAGAGCACTTCCACGTGATCTAGACGGCAAACCTCGTAACAAGACAGAGGTAGAGTAGACCTATTTTACATACGCATATATATCAGATTATGCATGAATAATTAATTGCATCGATCATTAAGCTACCTAATCGCTATCGCTATCGCTATCACTAATCACAATCCCATCTCTCTCCATTCCTGCGCCTATCCCATATTACCCCATTCCTCATCATTGAGACGAGAGGGAAAGAGTTGTTAAAGAGTGGTGTGTTGAATAGTATGTAAAATATCCTTTCGCAATTCCGCTTGCACATATCCCTTAGCCATATTTGCAATTGCCAACCGATATCCCATAGCTTCATTACCATCCTAATTCCATGAACGCCAAACTCTCCCTACCAAAATTTTGAAGAGCTAATGCTGTACCGGCAAATAAACTAGAAGCGCTTGCATGCACATCATAGCTCCGGTGGACAAAATAGTACAAAAAGCAAACCCACGAACGCCATTGCCTGCCTCAAATGACACTCGCTTCTTCTACTTGGTCAATCAATCTTCGCACTCGCCAATGATTTAACTACTGGATTAGTGAGATTATTTGCGAGACGTATGTTTGGAGTGCGCTTTTGCTTGTTGTGTTTTCGTAAACGTTTTCGAGCAACCATGACGGGGACTGATGATTTAGTAACGAGATAATTAGAGAAGGATCCCAAAATGACACTACACATCATTAGCTTCCGTTTTCTCTGAGATGATTGATGAAAGTAGAACTTACCCCTTCAGAGCACTTCTCCCACGGCTTCCCAGAATGACCAGAGTTGGATTAATGTAGTCAATCACCTCAGTGATCAAATGCTTAGGATTTTTACAATGAAGAACTTCAATGTTGACTTGTACTTGTAACTTTGTCTTCCTTAAAAGGTCAGACACTCTATCAGTAATATCTTCCACCGCTCGGAATCGATCATTTTCCGCTTTGCTTCTCGAGTCTCTTCCCATTGGACTTGGCGCTCTACTTCCCGAATCCAATCTGAAGCTATGGTTCAGCGGAATCGGTCCTATACTAGGCGTCAGTAAAGGGGTGTTGGCACGAGATGCTCTAGCAGATCTTTGCGCTGCAGCAATAGCAGATATTTGTTGTTTGATCTGGGCATCATCACCACTGTTATCCGGAGTTATTATGCCAAGCTCTTCATCAACACAGTAAATAGCAAGCATTGTATCTCCATCCCTCAGTACCGTTCCAATAGTCCATTCCAAAGCATGTGCTGCCTCATCACTAAGATCTGTCGCGACGAGGTACTTCCTAGTACGGCGTTGATTGTCGCGGGCTTCCTGTTGAACTTTTTTGAAATCTCCACGATGAATAGTACGAACGCAGCGTGATGTGATTGGAGTTGACTTAATTGCGGACATAGTCAGCGAGAGACTTTGGGCCTTTTTGACGTCGCCTCGGTCAGCCTCAGTGTCAGAATCGTGTGGACTAGGATCCCCAGAGCCGTCGGGATCAAAACTTGTATGCGGATGTACCACAGGCTTGTTGGCCTTGTGCCCGGCAGGCCCGGTCAAGGTTATTTGTGGATCAAGAAGTGATTTGACTTTGTACTTCTCATTCAAAGCTTCCTTGGCCGCAACATCTTGTCCTAACACTTATGTGAGTCTAGAACACCAAGAAAAGGGATGGTATACGTACGTTCTGCCTCAGCAGCAGCCATTTGACTTAGGGGTGTCCATTGGACCCTTTGCTCGCCCCATGCCCAAAGTTTTCTTTTCCACTCCCTGTCATCTCATCTACACTTCTCGCCTCTCTGCGCCCTCGTGATCCCTCATCATCCGATTCATCAGTGCTATCAATAATGCTTTCCTCGCCTTCCATGGGCACATAATCCTTCTTTAATCGAGCCCCATTAATGTCGAAATCCTCATTTTTCGATCGATTCTGCCGAGTCTTCTGACTTAACGAGGATAGCTCTCCATTTGACCGTGCTAGGTTGGCATCAGATAACCTTTGGTATGCACTGTTGACGTCTATAACTTTGCCATTGTCCAAAACCGCATATTTCGAAGGATCCGCCGAGACAGGGGAACTAGAACGTGGCGAGAACCGATTATGAGGCGACTTTGATTTTGTCGTGCTAATTCCAGTACTTGCAATCGAATTGTGCCTTCCCCTATCACGCCCTCCTTTAAAACCACTAAGATCCACGCCTGATCTGACCACCTCCGCCATTGAACTTGTAATCCTCTTCCCTGCTTGTGTATTGCGTTTTGGAACCGATGGACCACCCGGATTACTCGGTAAATATCCAGAGAACTGGTATTCATTGGGATCGACCCTGGTAATTGCCCTCGGCCCAAAATTTACAGTGGGTTTTGCAGCTGCATCTGACGAACTTCTCGAATGTCTGGCATTATGGGCGGGTGCTCTAAGATTTATTGTTGGAGACGTCTGCGCACTTCTCGAACCGGACGATTTAGTTGCTGGAGTAGAAATGTCGAGCATACTTCGCACAGCGGGTGCCGCTGGTAATGGCGTATCAACATCAAGCATACTTCGAATCGGTGCAGTGATTCCCGAACTGGTGCCACCAATAGATGAGTGTCGAGGCATCGCTGGAGCGCCATCGACATCTAGCATACTGCGCACAGGAGAACGCGGATTAGTCGTAAATGGTGACTTACTTCTCCCGCATCCAATTCTATGACCGGATCCCGTGGAGCTCACAGATCCTCTTGATCTACTACCCGTGGTGGAATGCAATAATGCGAGCACTTCCTGCCTCTCCTGCTCTGCCGCCGATTCCTGCGACATGGTTTTATTCGCCATATGTAATAATTATGATACGTTTAATCAAATGTGCAATTCCGCGGATCCTCAGGAAATGGCAGATGGTAAACTCGTCGTAGTATGATTCTTGGAGGTTTCCGTTGGGTGATGTAATGAGGTTACTCTGTAGATTTTGCAGGAATTTGAATAGGGCAAGAGCAATAGAATGCTCATAGAACTGAGGTTAGCCGTTTAAAAACTTTCTTGATGACCAAGGAAGTTTTTGATACTGCATTGTGGTTGATGGAATAATCTTTGGGTTCGCACTCAGGACATTGCTTTAGCCCCCGTCGTTAGTACGTGTGTTATGAAGGATAGTAGAGATATGATCTGTTATAATGGAAAGGTTGTTAGAAAGTGATGAATGCATCAACTGATCTTTTAAAAGTAGTGTTCCTCGAGAGAAGATAATCTTGCAGATTGAGGGAATGTTGTGTATCGAGTATTGTGTTGTGTGGGAATTGAAATTTGGAAGAAAATATATGTTGTGTTTTTTGATTCTTGGTATGGGTCTGGGGGATGGTAATTGATTTGATTGTATGGGGATTTTGTTTGTTGGGACTAAAGCATATGTACCTATGAAAATGAAAAGTTCTAGATGTTTAATAAAAAGGGACTAATAAATACCTATGAGACTCATAGAACTGACACGTGCACCGCCATTTAGATTTAGATTCAGAATGGCTTTGTTTGAAGTGAATGAAGGGTGAAGGGTGAAGGGTGAAGGATGAAGGAGAAGGATGAAGGATGGAGGATATCGATGAATGAAGGATGTGTTTCCAATGTTTGAGATTTTGAATGATTTCCTTGTCGGAGTGTGCCTACTACCTAGGTAGATAATTGAAGGGAAAAAAGGGGGGTAATCAGAAGATGAATCAAAATAAGAAAACGGTTCTATCAATCAATCAAATCGTGCAACAAACCCTAAAATAATGTATAAATTTTCGTCCCTTTTCTTCCCTTTCGTCTTTCAACCACGAAGCTATACCCTATCTTTCTCTAGCTGCGGGCCAGTAAGGCGGGGGAGGATGATGATCTTACAAAGCGGCCCAAACCGAACCATACGGAAACCAAGGACGGGGGTTATAGAACAAGCAAGACCAACTGTTGAATTATATCCTAGGTAGCAGGTATTAATTATAAGCTTGAGACGGATATCTGTCAAGATGGAATAGGAGAACAGGAAAAGAGGAGAATATTTGAAGCTTAAAAATGAGAGACAAATTATCTACTTGTCATGATAAATGAAGTTTTGAACAATTATCTATTCTCTATCCTCTGTTCTCTCAAAGGGTATCAAAGATAGATCGACCTCAATATGATAGATGATACCCGTACAATACATACCTTTCCTCTCTCCGTACAACGAAACACCTCCACGAAAACGCCAAGTCCCCTTCTTTCCCTTGCAAAAGCGACAGAATTCATTAGACAGTAGCACCATCCCAGGTTCCAATCTCTTATTCCTCACTTTTTCATCCTCGTGCTATTCCCATCAGATGCTCAGATGCTTATGTTAGTCACAACCCCCAAAAGTCTTCAAAGTTCAAACCCCAGCTTTAAACCTCATACAAGGGAAACTGCTACAACCAAGGCGCAGTCCCTTGGCAATATCAATCATCTCTTCTTGGCTCCACTCAATCCATTGTCCCTCCCTCTCAAGCTTTTCTGTAAATCCTCATTCAAGACTTGTCAAGCACGACAAGAAAGTCTTATCTCTCGCTTTGATTTACGGCATACTTAACTTAACCACTTAACCCTCCATCCATCTGCTTCCCTCATTCATCATGTCTACCCCGCCTCTGCCCCATTTTCAACCCATTCCCATCCCCATTCCATCCCCATCCCCAGACTTTTTACCCTCGCCCCTCCACGATACAACATAACATCTGCATGCACCATTCCCCTCTCTTGGCACCGCATACCGGCACATCATTCATCCTGATTCCATCTACTCACCATCACTCATTCATCTACAGCTGAAACCACACTTCAAAAATTTGGCTCGGCTCGAGTACCAAGACTTGCCAGCACTATATACTATTATCTAACTAACTACTTAATCAATACCTCTCGATACCTAAATCCTGATTTCCTCAACACATGACAAAACATCCAAAGAATCGCTTCATACCCGACAAATCGAAATCTCACCCCGAGCCCTAAGAACATGGTACAAACAAATCTCACACATGTACATATGTACGTTCCCTGTACACCAAAGTTCCTCCACAGCCCAAAACAGAAAATTTCCACAGCCATCCGAGATACGATACCTCGGATATCTTTCGGATATCTAATTAGGTATCAACATCGAAAAAGTTTCGGAGATACCGGTAGTTCAACTAGCTGTTTGAATGATATGGTTGAGCACATGCTTGAATAGTACTTAGTCTCAAAAACTAGTCCCTGGCATACATAGAAGATGAAATGCCGAGGAAGTTAAATGTCTACTGTTCAATAACGTCATGCACAATTGGAGCCATTTCAACATCGTCC